AATGTCCCCTCTTTCATTCTTGATTTTATTTATTTGAATCCTCTCACTTTTTTTAGTCTATCCAAAGGTTTGTCCATTTTATCTTAAAAAAAAAAAAACCCAGCTCTTGATTTCATTTGTCTTTTATGGTCTCTATTTCATTTATTTCTGCTTTGATCTTCATTATTTCCTTCCTTCTAAGCTCAAATGAGCTTGGTTTTTTTTCTCTATTTCTAAGTATTTGAGGTGTAAAGTTAGGTTGTTGTTGTTGTTGTTGTTTTTTTTTTTTTTAGTGATCTTTCTTTTTTTTAGTGTAGATGTGTTCCTAAAGTTTCTAAGTGGTGTAATAGCAATTTTAGATGAGTAATATCTTTTTTAGAGGGTGAGGAAGGAAAATAAAGAAAATAGGAGAAAGAAAGCAATTTGAATGCAATTTCTCTTTTCTTTTAGGGCTTTCTGAACATCTTAAGAGCAATTATTTTGAATTCTTTGTTAGGTAATTCCTGATCTCCACTTCCCTGGAACTATACTAGAGGCTTACTCTATCCCTTTGGTGGAAACTTTTTCCACACATTTGTGATTCCTGTACTTTGCCTAGGTGTCTGCACATTTAAATAAGCAAAAATCTCTTATCCAGACTTTATGGGTTGATTTAACTAAGGGAAGACTTTCACCTCTGGGTAGAGACACACTGGAGTGTGATGTGACCTAGGTCTAGTGGGGCAGGGCATCAAGGATGGGGGCTTGTGAAAGCACAGGGTCTGGGGGTAAGGAAGTTTCTTTGGCCCAGATCACTAGGGTACACAGCAGACAGCTCTGTGGTCCTTAGAGAGCACTATGGGAGGTCCACAGAGGGTACAAGGACTCATGGTGTCTCAGTGGTAGTTTCAAGTCCAGTGGGGATTAGGGCGAGCAGCGGTAGTGACTGGAGCTGATTGTATGCACAAACTTTGCTGTGAGGGCCAGCTGCATTTGCCTACGTTGTGGCAGGGACTAGTTGCAACACACATAGCGGTGGGAGCCAAGGCAGGAAGTCAGTCCCGGTACTCCCACTCAAGCAAGGCAAAAACTAGTCCCTCCAGCACCCCCCTTGAAAAGCCAGAGCATTGGGCGTATTTCCTTCCCATGAGAGAAGCTGCGGGCTGGCCGTTTTCTCCTGATTGCTTTGTAGTCTGCCCATGAAGTGGTGGGTAAATTCAACAAACTTTCATACCTCCTTTGATGCAGCTCTGCTTGGCTTCGCACTTGCCTTGGGCCCTGCAATGTCTTGACTGGTTTCTTGAGTTCTCATAAAGGCAAGTTGGTCTGTATATTGTTAATTAACTTTGGTGTCTACCTGGGGGAATGAAGACCTGGGGTTTCCTATTCCACCATCTTGCTAATGTCAGTGGAGCAGGTACATTTTTCAAAAGACATTTTTCATTTTGTAAAAGTAAATATTTATTTATTTTACATAGAAAACTATCAATCTTTCTTTATTTTCAGCATTCACAATAGAATGATGAAATCCGTATGGTCCTTCCATTTTCTTTCTGCTGAATGAATGAATGAATGAATGAATGGAACATGTGTAATGAAATCTGGTTCCACATAATTCTCTGTATTAGGACTTTCCCAAGCAAATAATTAACAATTTCTGTTTCAAAATTCTGTTTTTCCCCATACTCAGATTCTCAAAGGAGTGTCAACATTTAATCATACAATCAACAAGCATTTTGATTTGTTTGGTGAAATGGCAATCATCTGGAAGGTCAATATTTTTAAGGGCGAATCATCTCTAAAACAACATATATACAGTTCTCAGCTGACAAAATGAAAAATTTCAATGTAGTAAGACTCAATCTAACTTTTACTTTAAATATGCATGCATGTTAATTGTAAGGCATTGGCTACTAGATATAAACATCTCAAAATCATCATCTATATTTGAGGAATGTCTGTTTTGACAATGTTAATTTATATTATAGTGAAACAAAAGTAAATGTCCACATAGAATATTGCAAGCAGCATTCTCAGTATTTAATAAAGCTCAGGAGAAAATATTGCCAAATTTATTTGACTATTTTTCAGAATCTATTATAAAGCACCCTGTTTTCTATAGAGTTCCATAGCATATTTTTGCACACAAAACAAAGGAATATTTCTTTGTATGTATAGCAAAATTCAGAGCCCTTAAAGAAAAGAGAAATTGCATTCAAATTGCTTTCTTTTTTTTATTTTCTCTTTGTTCCTTCCTCACTCTCTGAAAAAGGTATTATTCATCTCAAATTGCTATTATACTATTTAGAAACTTCAGGAACACATAAATTACGCTTCGAAAAGTATTGAGTTCAGGGGTGCCTGGGTGGCTCAGTCAGTTAAGTGTCCAACAAGAGCGCAGGTCATGATCTCACGATTCATGAGTTCGAGCCCCGCATCGGGCTCTGTGCTGACAGCTTGGAGCCGGGAGCCTGCCTCGGATTCTGTTTCCCTCTCTCTCTGCCCCTCCCCCGCTCATGTTCTGTCTCTCTCTCTCTCTCAAAAATAAATAAACAATAAATAAATAAATAAATAAATAAATAAATAAATAAATAAATGTATTGAGTTCATTTGAAAGCATCACATTCAGTTTGGCTCTCAGTAAACGAAACCGTGTCTTCATTAGATACTAATTTTGACAGAGCACGACTTGCATGCATTGGATGTTGTGATAAAGTAAGTTCAAGTAAGAGGTGTTTGCTTTCAATAATAAAGTGATATGGAATTAAAGTACAATATGTATATCTTCTGGATAAGTGATTTAAGCCATTATGGGTGGTTTTTTTTTTTTTTTTTGTCTTTTTAGAAGTCTTTAGAATTAATATTTTAAAAATTACTCCTTTTATCTGGTACTTGGTCTATTCACTGGAATAGAGGCATAGAAAACATTCTCCTGCTAAGATTAATACATTCATACAATATATGGCTAAGCTGAAACGAAAAGTTCAAATATCTGCGAGATAGTGGCATTTGCAATCGTGAGTTGTTTTCAATGGAGGAAACTTCTAAGGTTGTTTCAGCAAAAATCCAAGGAAAACCAGTCTTGGGCAACGAGTGCCAGCCTATTTTATAACAGTTAACAATCATAGCTCTTTGCAAAAGGATGCCATTTTATTTTATTATTTAAAAAAATTTTTTTTAACGTTTTATTTATTTTTAAAAAATTTTTTTTCAACGTTTATTTATTTTTGGGACAGAGAGAGACAGAGCATGAACAGGCGAGAGGCAAAGAGAGAGGGAGACACAGAATCGGAAACAGGCTCCAGGCTCTGAGCCATCAGCCCAGAGCCTGATGCGGGTCTCCAACCCACGGACCGCGAGATCGTGACCTGGCTGAAGTCGGACGCTTAACCGACTGCGCCACCCAGGCGCCCCCGTTTTATTTATTTTTGAGATAGAGACAGAGCATGAATGGGGGAGGGGCAGAGAGAGAGGGAGACACAGAATTGGAAGCAGGCTCCAGGCTCTGAGCCATCAGCCCAGAGCCCGATGCGGGGCTTGAACTCACAGACCGCGAGATCATGACCTGAACTGAAGTCGGACACTTAACCGACTGAGCCACCCAGGCGCCCCTTTTATTATTTTTTAAAGTTTATTTGTTTATTTTGAGAGGGAGAGAGTCAGAGCCAGCAGGTGAGGGGCAGAGAGAGAGAGAGATAATCCCAAGAGAAACCTGCTGGGGATTCTCGCTCTTCCTCTTTTTTGCCCCTCTTCCACTCGCATGCACTCTCTCTGTTAAAATCACGACTGTTAAAACCCAGTCAGCACTCCTTTATGTTTAACTTTTACAGATAGTTTCCCGCTTCCTAGAGAAGTACTTCTTAGGAGAATAGGGAAATGTAAAATTTGATAACCCAAATGCGATTTCACTGGTAAACAATCAGAAATGAGATGACACACCTCTGAACTTATAAAATTAAACAATGACTAAAAGTACAAAAACTGACATGTAATTTTAAAGGAATTCCGTCTCTTGGTTAAAAAAAGAAAAAGAATAAATTCTGCCTGAGATGGGTGGGTTAGGAGTCGTCCCCTCCTGTGATCTTGTTGGTGTTTTGGCTTGTTTTCTTGGCCAACGTGCTGTCGTGTGACTGTTCATCATGCCTCACATTTTCTTTTCGCTTTAGAGTTCTAGGAAATTGCAGTCTGTGACTCCTTTTCTTCATGCAGAATTTCCTTGTCCAGCAACTGAATGAATCGTTGTCTTATTTTCTGGGACTCTCAGATACACAAGGGAATGACAATTGGCAATGGATTGATCAGACACCTTACAAGGAAAATGTCAGGTGAGTGCCGAATCAGATGAATGACCCATAGGGCCTTGTTTAGGTAGAAAAGTTAGGGGAATTCTGTTCGTAGTGATCACTAGTGCTAATATTTACAATTGTAACAGTGGTAACAGATTCTAGCAGTAAGCTCTTACTAAGTACATGTATTATATCACTTAAACTTCATGAAAGCTTATTTTTTAGAACTCACCTTATGGGTTAAAAAATTGAATAACTTGCTCAATGTCAATAAACTAGTAAGATGAAAAACTAGGTCTCAACTTCATGTCTACCTAACTCCAACGATGGTGACGCTCTCAGCCATTACATTTTACTGCCTCTAAACACATGTAGACACTTCAATCAAATTTTTCTCCAGTTAATACGATTTAAAATATCCAGGGAAGAACTATGTTCAGTTCTGATGGGATAATAACATGATAATACTATTTATTTGTGGCTTAAAAATCCATTTAATTGTACATTGTCCCATTTGATTTTCACACAATCTCGTGATCCATTTGGAGACCTTATTATGATTCCTGTTTTTTTTAATTTTGAAGTTTATTTATTTATTTTGAGACAGAGAGAAAGAACAAACAGGGGAGGGTCAGAGACAGAGAGGAGAGAGTGAGAATCCCAAGCAGGCTCTGTGCTGCCAGCTTAGAGCCCGATGTGGGCTCAATCCCACGAACCATGAGATCATGACCTAAGCCAAAGTTGAACGCTCAACTGACTGAGTCACCAAGTTGCCCTTGATTCCTATTTTTAATAGATGAAGAATCTAATACCTGGGAGAGTAAGTTACTTCTCTAAGATCAAAGTAAGCCAGCAATAAAATCCAGTTTCTTCATTCCAAAAATAAGGTCCTACCCACACCCTCACCTCCTACCACAGACTGCATTCCTTGGAAGCAGGGTAACTTCTTATATTCAGACTCATTCTTCCTGACATTTGTTTAGTGTTGATCCATGAGAATAGAGAAACTAACTTAGGAATGTGATAAGAGTACACAAACTTTAAGAGTACACAAATGATAAGGCAGCCCCTTTATTACAGGCCACTAAGAGAGGAACTTTTTTAATAACTTAGGTTGGGATAAGGGCTCTGAATAGATGAGAAAAGTGAAGATCAGAATGTGGGGGGGCGGGGGGGAAGGTCCAAGGACACTCTATTGCATACAAATGTTGCCAGGGGAGTGACAGAGGAACAAGAGTAAAGGTATGTATCCACACTTGAGGTTTTTGAGGAGGGCAATATGAGAAGAGGAGAGCAATCATTGGGATGTTCTGTCACTCTGAACCTCATTGTTGAACCCTGACCCTACATACTTTCTAATCAATCGCAATGCATTCATTGAAGAAGACTTTTGCCTGTTTGTTTCTCTTTAGAGTATGGCACCAGAATGAGCCCAATTTTTCTGCAGAGGAATGTGCTTCAATAGTTTTCTGGGAAAACAGAGGATGGGCCTGGAGTGATGTTTTCTGTGATACTAAGAGAAACTCAGTATGTGAGATGAAGAAGATTTAGCTCTGAGCGGAACTTTATTCACTGACACCTTTAAAGTTAAGACCTATCATAAAATGATAATTTCCTCTTACGCTTATGTATAATCTTTGTCACAGGGGTTCGTGGAAATATTCAGATACCCTTCTGCCTTCAATCATCCCTCTTCTAGTTTCCTCTTTTTCACTAATGGTAAGATGAACTCTTCCTTCGTTTTCTCTTTAATTTGTTCTTCATTCTTTCCTTTCTTCATATTTCTTTTTGCAAACACTCCTTGTGCCAGAGGCTGTACTATTTTGTCTGTTAGAAGACTCATAAGGAAGTAACTTTTGAAAATTATGAATTTCTTTCACCAAAATGCCGCTTAAAAGCCCTTTTGGCCAAGATGGTGACTGGGACTGCAGTCATTGGAATCCCTGGCAAGAGCTGAAGGATTTGCTTCCTAGAAAGTTCACTCACATGGCAATTTCATATTGGCTATTGGTAGAAAGCCTCAGTGCCTCACCACAGGGATCTCTCCTTGGGGTTATTTGAGTGTCCTCACAATATGTTGGCTGGCTTCCACCAGAGCAAGTAATCCAAGAGAGCAACTGAGAGCAGCAATGTCTTTTGTGATCTAGCTTCAAAAGCCAAACACCATAATTCCATTGGTCACACAGACCAAACCTGATATAATAAAGAAGAGGGCTGGGGCACGTGGGTGGCTCAGTCGGTTAAGTGTCCAACTGGCTCAGGTCATGATCTCACGGGTCGTGAGTTCAGGCCCCGCCTCGGGCTCTGTGCTGATAGCTCGGAGCCTGGCACCTGCTTCAGATTCTGTGTCTCCCCCTCTCTCTGTCCTTCCCCTACTCATGCTCTGTCTCTCTCTCTCTCTCCAAAATAAATAAACATTAAAACAATTAAAAAAAATTTTTTTTTCAACATTTATTTATTTTTCGGACAGAGAGAGACAGAGCATGAACGGGGGAGGGGCAGAGAGAGAGGGAGACACAGAATCGGAAACAGGCTCCAGGCTCTGAGCCATCAGCCCAGAGCCTGATGCGGGGCTCGAACTCACGGACCGCGAGATCGTGACCTGGCTGAAGTCGGACGCTCAACTGACTGCGCCACCCAGGCGCCCCTAAAACAATTTTTTTTAAATAAATAAGAGGACTATCCAAAGGTATGAACACCAGAAGGTGAGAATCATTGAGGACAATCTTGGAGTCTGGCTGCCAGAGTGGAATTTCCTTATAAAGATACAAAATGTGTATTCCAAGAAGCAAAATAATTAAAAATTCTTCTACAATAAAAATATGAAACTCATGTTCATCAAAACACTATAAAGAAAAATTTTAAAAGGTGAACTGCAAGAAGATATTTTATTTTATTTTCTTAAAGATTTAATTTTTTTAAGTAATCTCCACACCCAATGGGAGCTCGAACTCACAACCCTGAGATCAAGAGTTGCATGCTCTACCAACTGATCCAGTCAGGTGCCCTGAAGATATTTTAAATACTTGTCACTAATACAGTATTAATTAATACTGCATAAAAACATATAAACAACTGTCACAAATCAATTAGAAAAGACAGAATTTGGGCAAAATATTTAAACATTTTACAGGGGCGCCTGGGTGGCTCAGTCGGTTGAGCGTCCGACTTTGGCTCAGGTCATGATCTCACAGTTCGTGAGTTCGAGCGCTGCATCAGCCCTGCGCTGACAGCTCAGAGCCTGTAGCCTGCTTTGGATTCTGTGTCTCCCTCTCTCTCTGCCCCCCCACCCCCACTTGTGCTCTGTCTCTCAAAAATAAATAAATTGTTAAAAAAAAAAAAAAAGCATTTTACAGAAGAGGAAATACAGAATCCAATAAATGTGTTTTTATAGAGATGCTCGGCTCTACTAATAATTTGAAAACTGTCAATCCAGACCACAATAATATACTATTTCATATCCATTTCAATGGCTAACGTTAAGAAACATAACACCAAGAGTTGGAAGAGATGTAGGTAAATGGTGAGCTTATACTGTTACAACCATATCGGAAAATAAATAAATCTACATTTTTCCTATGAAACATCACCTAACAAATGCTGTGTGGAGTGAGATCTAAGTCTATGAAATGTGGGTACTGGAATGAAGAGTTATGCTATGGGGATAACTTTAACTAGGGAAACCTTCTGCATTGTATGCTTACGTTATTTAGGCACGTACCTGGTAAAAGTGAAAACAAAACAAGGGTTAGATAAACATAATTCTCAATGTAATGGTTACAATTGGATGGTAGGCCGGGATTGGGAGGAACACTTAGGCACGTGATAGAGTTCCAGGTTTTGTATTGGGCAGTGGTGTTTATATAATAAACATTAAACAGGGGCACCTGGGTGGCTGGGTTGGGTAAGTGTCCAACTCTTGGTTTCTGCTCAGGCCACGATCTCATGGTTCGTGAGTTCAAGCCTCACATTGGGCTCTGTGCTGACAGTGCAAAGACTGCTTGGGATTCTCTCCCCCTCTCTCTGCCCCTCCCCTGCTCTCTCTCTCTCTCTCTCAAAATAAATAAATAAACTTAAAAAAATTTAAGAAAAAAACACGCAAAAAAACACAACAAAATAAAGCAAGAATATCAAGAAGGTAGTGTATTATGAATCTCCAATTATGATTAAAACATTTTTGTGGACCCAAAGTCCAAATATAAAAATAATTAATGAAAGTCTAGATTAATGAAAGTTGGGAGTTCTTGACTGATACCTTTGAATTCAGGATCACTTTGAAGTAGCAGTGGTCCCAGATTCCAGAAGCTCTTGCTGCCATGTCACCGTCACCACAATTGTCTCTCCACCCACAAGAGGCCACACATTGGAATCCTCAATCTACCCCTACCAATCACATCTGGAAACGCATCATTTATGACCTTGATTATCGGCAGAAACATCCGCAGGAAAATCTCTCCTGCTTTATGTTTACTTCCAAGTCTCACACTGTTTCATCTAATTGGTGGTGAAAAATTTTCGTGAAGACAAGTCGGAAGGGAACCTGAATAATGTAGTTCATAGCTTTGGGTAAGTTTACCTGTACTGTAGTGTTTAAGTCTGTTTGGGCCGCTCTACTAAAATGCCAGAGACTGGGTAGCTTATAAACGGTGGAGGTTTATTTCCCACTGTTCTGGAGAATGGGCAGTCCAAGTCAAGGCACCAGCATGATCACATTTTGGTGAGAGCCCTCCTCCTAGTTCATAGCCTGCACCTTATCACTGTCTTCACGTGGTGGAAGACATGCGAAGTCTCTCGAGAGCCTCTTTTATAAAGCATTCATCTCATGCAAAAGGACTCCATTCTCAATACCTAAGCACTTCCCCAAGGTCTCATCTTCTAATACCGTATGTATTTCAACCGATACATTTTGTGGGGACACAAACATTCAGACCGTAGCAGGTAGGTAGATGTTTCTTAGATGTTTGGTGTAGATTTATCCATAAAGTTCTCCGGGCTTACTGCCTATTTAAGACTGTTTATTTGGACTACATTTTCCTTTTATTTTCCCCCTACGATTTTTAGGCTTGATCAATTTAATTTCTTTTTTTTTTTTTAATTTTTTTTTTTCAACATTTATTTATTTTTGGGACAGAGAGAGACAGAGCATGAATGGGGGAGGGGCAGAGAGAGAGAGGGAGACACAGAATCAGAAACAGGCTCCAGGCTGTGAGCCATCAGCCCAGAGCCTGACGCGGGGCTCGAACTCACGGACCGCGAGATCGTGACCTGGCTGAAGTCGGACGCTTAACCGACTGCGCCACCCAGGCGCCCCGATCAATTTAATTTCTATTTTCTAGAAAATCATTTATCTCACCTTATATATTTTTTTTTTGAGCAGAGAACATGCTTTATGGAGGAATAGATAGGGAACGGCACTACCACATGTGGGGAAGGGTTAGCTTCAGTAAAGTTCCTTTACCCTTAAGAAAACCCCCAGTGACGTTGCTTTTAGACAAACTTTAACAGTGACACTGAAACTGGTTAAATATGCTTAAAATTAGCTCCCCCCAGACTGCAGTGGGTGTGAGTAGTGACAGAGATGATGAGAGAAAGGCACAAATGACCAGAGTCAGGAATGTGAGGGTTCCACATGCAGTGGAGTATTGTAGGACACCAGGTTGGGAAGGGTGTCACGTCATATATCAAAAGCTTGGAAGGGCCCCCATCAAAAAGTTGGAAGGGCCCCCATGTTTATAGCAGCACTACCAACAATAGCCAAAGTATGGAAAGAGCCCAAATGTCCATTGATGGATAAATGGATAAGGAAAATGTGGTACCTATATACAATGGAGTATTACTCGGCCATCAACAAGAATGAAATCTTGCCATTTGCAACTACGTGGATGGAACTGGAGGGTATTACGCTAAGTGAAATTAGTCAGTCAGAGAAAGACAAAAATCATATGGCTTCACTCATATGAGGGCTCTAAGAGACAAAACAGATGAACACAAGGGAAGGGAAACAAAAATAATATAAAAACAGGGAGGGGGACAAAACAAAAGAGACTCATAACTATGGAGAACAAACTGAGGGTTGCTGGAGGGGTTGTGGGAGGGGGCATGGGCTAAATGGGTAAGGGCCATTAAGGAATCTACTGAAATCATTGCTTCACTATACACTAACTAATTTGGATGTAAATTTTAAAAAATAAAAAAGAAAGTTAAAAAAAAAAGAAAGGAAAATGGAAGCCATCAAAAAAAGAAAAAAAGTTGTAAGGGTCTGGACAGAAATTAAAGGGAACATCTATCTCTTGCTTTGCTTGAACACCAAAAATAGGAAACCGGGGGATACGGGGGGAACGGTGGCAAACCCCAAAAAAGGAAATGGAGGAGGAGGTGGCCTGCTGAGTCTGGGGCAGAGATCTGGAAATCATTCGCGGTCATGTCCGACCTACCTCGCCAAGGATGTTCAGACAAAAATCGGTGCAACTGAGGTGTGCTACATCAGACTGGTTACTGGGGAGAAGGTTTCTGCAGTCTAATGAACCTGTTCGCCTGCAGCATGAAGGAGG